CCCCAGCAGGTGTTTTTTTTTTTTTTTTAAATAATTATTTATTTAACTTTATTTATTATTATTTTAATATTTCCAGAGAGAGAGAGAGAGAGAGCGAAAGTGAAAAAGCAAGCCTCCAGGTCTGGGACTCGAACCGTAGTCAGCCATGTGGGAGTCCAGTGCCCTTAACCACCATGCCATCTGCCGGTCCCACCCAGCATGAGGTTTAAAGCCACCAGGCCCAAGACTTGAACCGCAGTCGACTACATGAGAGTCCAGCTATGTAACCATAAAGTCGTCTGCTGATCACTGCAATTGATGCTTTTTAGAAAAGTATTTATTTGTAGTTACTATTTTTTAATTTGTCGAGAGAAGGAGAGAGAGAGAGAGAGAGAGAGAGAGTGAGAGAGCAAGCTGCCAGGTCCAAGACTTGAACCATGGTAGCCATGTGGGAGTCCAGCACCATTAACTACCATGCCACCTGACCCTGGAACTGATGTTTTTTTTTCTTTTAAAGAGTTATTTTATTTACTTTGTTTATGTATTATTTATTTTAATTTGACCAGAGAGGGACAGAGAGAAAGAGAGAGAGAAAGTGAGAAAGCAAGCTGCCAGGTCCAGGACTTGAACTGCAGTAAGCCATGTGGGAGTCCAGCACCCTTAACCATCTGCCAGTCCTGGAATTGATACTTTATAAAAAGTTGTTATAGGGTGTGTGTGAGAGACAGAGAGAGAAAGTGAGAAATCACCCTCTGGAGGGGGTACAGCCATGCCACAGTCCCTTCTCCTTCACTCTCCTCTTGGGATTTTGGGCATGCGCGCGTGCGCACACACACACACACACACGTGCGCACACACACACACGCCTGGGGTGATGTTCAAGCCACCGGGTCTGGGACTCAAATGGCACAGTCGGCCATGTAGGCCAGCTGCCTGACCGGTGCTTTCTTTCCTTAACCTTTCTTTAGACCCTGCCAATTTTCTGCTGAGTGCTTGGGGATGCTCGGGCTCAGAAGGGCCTGTGCTTCACCCCAGTGATGGCTCTGCAGGCCCAGTCCTGTGGCCCAAGTTCCCCTGGCCCTGACTCACACACTATTGGGCCTGGCAGTGATAAGCCACGTCCTCTTGTTGACACAAACTCCCATACTTTGGTCATCCTTTTCTGCAGGAATTGAATATAACATCATCCGGGTACCCATGGCCAGCTGCGACTTCTCCATCCGCACCTACACCTATGCCGACACCCCCGACGACTTCCAGCTGCACAACTTCAGCCTCCCAGATGAAGATACCAAGATGAAGGTGGGTGTTCAGGCCTTGTTGGCACTGAGGGCACGGGTTTGCGAGGCTTCGGCCAGGGCAGTCTGCAGAGAGACACAGAACCAGGCCCCTGTTCTCTCCTGGAGGTGGGAGCGTGAGGGCTGATGGCTGGGCCTGATGCACAGGTTGGGCTAGTCTGTTTCCTTTTTTTGTTTTGCCAGAGGGCACGTGTGCTCACCAGAGACAGAGAGAAAGGGAAAGTGAGAAAGCAGCCCCCGCCCCATGAGGAATGGTCGAACCACAATCTCTTTTCTTCCCATTTCTGCCTCCTTTCAGGATTTGGGGCATGCATGCAAACATGCCTGATATATTCCTCAAGCTGCCAGGTCCAGGATTTGAACCACATGGTTGGCCATGTGGGATCCAGCTGCCTTGACTACCAAACTGTGGGCTGGCCCCTGGGCTGTTTCAACTCTGGGTGTCTCCATTTCTCTAGATCCCCCTGATTCACCGAGCCCTGCGGTTAGCCCAGCGCCCTGTCTCCCTCTTGGCTAGTCCCTGGACGTCTCCTACTTGGCTCAAGACCAATGGGGCCGTAAATGGCAAGGGGTCGCTCAAGGGTCAGCCAGGGGATATCTACCACCAGACCTGGGCCAACTACTTCGTCAGGTAAAAACTGGCAGGGCTAGGGGTCTATTTCAGCCTCCTGGATATCCGTCCCTGTCCTTGCCCTGATTCGACCCTCGGATCTGTCTTTCCTAGCCCCAGGTCACCTCCTTCCTGTGGGCCTGTCAGTTTCCCCCACTCCACAGGGGCTCCTGTTCCCCAAGGTCTTGGTCTGCTTTCCTGGCCGACACTACTCATGCCCTTTCTCCTGCCAGATTTCTGGATGCCTATGCCGAGTACAAGTTACAGTTCTGGGCAGTGACGGCTGAGAACGAGCCTTCTGCGGGGTTGATTAGTGGGTACCCCTTCCAGTGCCTGGGCTTCACCCCTGAACACCAGCGAGACTTCATCGCCCGTGACCTGGGCCCCACCCTCGCCAACAGTACCCACCGCAACGTCCGCCTGCTGATGCTGGATGACCAGCGCCTGCTGCTGCCCCGCTGGGCACAGGTGGTAAGGACCGGGGCATGCACGAGTGCTTGAGACCCCCAAAACCCAGCACCCAAAGGACCGGCTCCAGACCCAGAGTGCCTCCCCTTCCCAATGCTCTTAGAGTCCTAGAGCATCCTGGGCTGGGTCCGGGTGCAGAGGCCACCATCCACTCTGGACCTCAGGGCCCTGTGGAACCCCATGGCTGTCACTTAGGCCCCCTCCAGCTGATCTGTCCCGCTGCCCATTTCTCAGACCTAGTTCCTCTCCCAGAAGCCTTTGTCCAGGGCCCAGGGTCAGTGGCTGTCCTTCCTCTGCCCTGTCTAGGTGCTGGCAGACCCAGAGGCAGCCAAGTACGTTCACGGCATCGCTGTACACTGGTACCTGGACTTCCTGGCTCCAGCAAAAGCCACCCTGGGGGAGACGCACCGCCTCTTCCCTGACACTATGCTCTTTGCGTCCGAGGCCTGTGTGGGCTCCAAGTTCTGGGAGCAGAGTGTGCGGCTGGGCTCCTGGGACCGGGGCATGCAGTACAGCCACAGCATCATCACGGTGAGCCGCCCTGTCCCTGCCGGCAAAGCGGACCCCTGGGCCCTCGGTGGAGAGCGCCCTTCGGTCTCACCACAGGCCGACAGGCCTTCCTCTCCAACTCCTCAGTTGGCTGTCCATTGGAGCCGTTGAGGCATACATGATTCTGGCTCCTTTCCTTCATGGATATGCACACGCCGCCACTTCTCACAGATGCTGGGTCTCTGAGTTCTTAGCTTCCCTGGAGATGCCTCCATCTTCACAGGCCCTTAGAAATTAGAGACATGGCGCCCCCCTCAGGGCTGGACTGCTCACACCCCCCCCTCATGTGATCCTTAACTACATCCTCTGGGGACCCTACTGTTGAGCCTCTGTCTTTTCCCTAGAACCTCCTCTACCATGTGGTTGGCTGGACGGACTGGAACCTAGCCCTGAACCCCGAAGGGGGCCCCAACTGGGTGCGCAACTTTGTTGACAGCCCCATCATCGTAGACATTGCCAAGGACACGTTTTACAAGCAGCCCATGTTCTACCACCTTGGCCACTTCAGGTGAGAGGAGGGCGGACACCCTGCTTCCACACAGGGCCTATCAGCCCCCGCCACGAGCTGGCCTCACCCCACACCACCAAGGAACAGGAAGGCGTTTAGGGTGGGGACTCTGGAGAGGCACACCCAGCCCCCTTGCACCACACAGGCAGGAAGTGACTGGGTGGCATTAGGGACACAGACACCCCTGAGTGTCCAGTGCTGGAGCTGGGATGTGACAGGGCCAGTGCTTAGCAGTGTGACTCAAGGCCTCGAGTGAGGGTGGTGATGGGGGAAGCAGGTGACCCTTTTTGCTATCGGATATGTGTACTCATTGGCGACAGAGGGAGAGGAGAAAGCACACCCCCACCACGGGGAATATTCACACCGCAATCCCTTCTCCATCTTTCTTCGGTCTCAGGGTTTTTGGCACATGTACAGCCAGGCGTGTTATTCGTGCTGCAGGGTCTAGGACCAGAACTGCGCAGTTGGCCATGTAGGATCCAGCTGCCTTTTTTTTTTTTGAGAGATTTTTGCTATAGGGTGTGTGTGCTCACTAGAGAGACAGAGAGAGACAGACGGAAAGCAAGAAATCACCGCCCAGGGGGGATGGCCACACCACAATCCCTTCTCGTCCATTCTCCTCTCAGGATTTTGGGCATACATGCACACACACCTGGAGTGAGTTTTAAGCTGCTGGGTCTAGGACTTGAACCACTGTCAACTACATGGGAGTCCAGTGACATAACTGCTGGGCTATCTGCTGGTCCTGGATCCAGCTGTCTTAACCACCTGGTCATGGAAGGCCTGGGGAAGGGTCGAGGCATCCGTCTTAGATTTGATAGGTGCCCTGAAGGCCAGACGGGCTGGGCTAAGGTCCCTGATGATGTCTATGCCCATTTCAGCAAGTTCATTCCTGAGGGCTCCCAGAGAGTGGGGCTGGATGCCAGCGAGAAGAACGACTTGGAAGCAGTGGCACTGACACACCCCGACGGCTCTGCAGTTGTGGTCGTGCTCAACCGGTGAGGGCAGTGGGGTCCAGAAACAGGGCTCAAGAGTGGGTGGTGGGTGTTGGTGGCTCATACTCAGTCTCTCCTCTGCTCCCCAGCTCCTCCAAGGACGTGCCTCTCACCATCAAGGATCCTGCCGTGGGATTCTTAGAGACTATGTCCCCTGGCTACTCCATTCAGACCTACCTATGGCGTCGCCAGTGACGAAGCAGAGCCAGGCCAGTGCCAGGCTCCATGTGGGCATTAAAGGGAGCCCGCTAACATGCTGCCTGTGGCTAACAAGGGCATGGCAGGGCCGGGATGAGCTCAGTGACGTAAGCTCGGGGCTGTGGTGTGGGTGACTCACTCTCCCCTCCAGCTGGTGCCAGGGGCTGGAGGTCCCCAGGGAAAGATCCTGGTGTGAGCGTATGCTGAGTGCTGGCTGTCTGTGGAAACTGGGCCTGGGCCCAGGGTGAGCTCACTGTCTGTAAAACACAAGATGGGGGGCGGGGAGGAAGACACTAGGAAGGCTAGACCCAAAACTGGGGCATACTTGTCTTCCTGGAGAAGCAGAACTGTGAACGGGCATGCCGGTCTTTCTGGAGAGGCAGAACTGGGCTCATGCAGAAGCCATGCCAGCAGGACAGAAGCCACCGGAGGAGCCATGTGCTGGGGGAGCGGGGGAGCTCCCAGGGTCTCTCAGGGCACCAGTCAGGATGAATGGTAACCCTTAAAGGAGAGCTGTCTGATCCAGTCAGTGTGAGTAACTTTATTCTTGGGGGGGGGTCGCACCCCACTTTGGGCTATACCAACAAATGGGGAGGCATAGAGTCCTCTGGAATGCACGACAGTAGAAAAACCAGTCCTGTGAACACGAGGGCAAGTCATTCCTCTTCGTCTTCCTCGGCCATGCCCAGGGCCTGACTGCCTGGGGCCCGGGCAGGCGTTGCCCGCTGGATAGAAACTATGCCACTGAGCAAGGCATAGCCCACCATGGCTGCCAGCCCCGCCAGTACCGACAAGATCTGGTTCCGGCGCCGGTATGGCTCCTCCTCAGTCTCTGAGCCTGCTGGAGTCTGGCGTGGGGGGGGCACCTCAGCTGAGGAGCAAGAAAGGAAGGTGGGCAGGGCTGGTTCCTGGACCCCTGCCCGCTTTCCCCAGAGCTGCCCACTCCCGCCTGCCCCGTACCTCCGTCCCAGGGAAAGTAGAGGCTGAGGATGTGGGTACAGTAGGCACAGAGGTTGTGCAGCCCCCGCAGGTGAGCCTGCAGCTTCCCACTGGGCAGCTTTGCCTGCAGCAGCAGGGCCAGGTAGCTGAAGACGAAGGCGTCCAGGGAGGCAGGGCTGGAGCAGACAGAGGGGGTGGGATGGAGGACAGCTGGGGCTAACGGGGCAGAGATGGAGCTCAAGGCAGGGTCAGCCCTGGGAGGTGGGCTCTGGGCAGCAGGGGGCCACCGGGGGAGGCAAGACACACCGTTCTGGACCTGGCATAGGGAGGGTTCCCCAGGTGGCGCCAGCCTGGCCCTGAATAGGGCTCTATCTCAGGGCTGCATAAAGGGCACATTGAGTACCCCGCAGCCCTGCTGGCCTGGCTGCCCTCCCACCCCACCCTCCTGTACCACTGAGGTGGCTCCGGCCCCACACACAGCCCCACTGTCACCAGAGCCAGTGTCTGTCCCGAGGACCTCCTGTCCAGAGCCTGAGCCCACATTTACCCCCGCCCCGGGACCAACATCTGAACCTGAATCTTCTGAGCCACCCATTCTCCCCCGGGGTCAGACTCACGCATCTCCAAAGAAGAACTTCTGAGAGCCGAGGCGCTGGGAGAGAAGGGTCAGGCACTCCCGAGCCTCTCCGTACAGCTGTGGGGACAACACAGACGGGCTTGCGGCTGTGGGAACAGTGCCACCTCCCATTCCTGGCTGTCCTCCTTGGGGCTCATCTCACACAACAGCCCCCTGTGCCAGAACTACCTCTTTCTCCAGCTCTTCTTCGTTCTCCGGCCTGTACTCCCCACACAGCAGCTGCAGCCGTTCCATGTACTGCCGCTGCATGCGGCCAGGCAGGAAGAAGTTGAGGGGAAAGGGCATCGCCTCTGCATACCACTTCCGGGTCACCTCCACATAGTTCTTGGTGTCTATCCAGAAAGTGTGTATCTGAATTGTAGGTGAGAAGGGAGAGGCAGGTCTGAATCGGTGCACCTGCCCCCGTGCTGCTCTAAGCCCAAGTATGGGGCCGTATGCCCAGCCCCCTCCCCTGCTGGCCGTGAATGCTGGAGGGCTGGGCACACTCACCAGCACCGGGAGCAGCTTCTCCTCCAGGAGAGACATGAAGGCCAGGGTGTCTGCCCCTTGCCGGGCTGACAGGTCGTAATCAGCATTGTACTTCTGTGGAGAAATGCCCATGAGGTAGACACTGGGGAGCCGCGGGGGCACTTCCCCAACGAGGGAGGAATCTTTGGTACCCCGTGCTCTTGCAATGGCTCTGAGTAGCAGAGGTCGAGTGCAGAGCTTTTCGCCAAGTCAGTAGCCTGTTGCTATTGGCAGAAAGCCTGGGCCTTGGAGCCCGCTGGCCGTCAAGGTCTTGCGCCCATTGGGGGGAGGAAGGAAGGCCCAGCCACAAACTAGGAGCAGCTCCCAGAGTTTCCACGGAAAGCTGGCAGCATGCCTGCTGACGGCAACTTTCTAACAGTCGCTTCCCCGACCCAGACACCACAAAGCTAGCGGGGCCAAGCGGAGCTCAGATGCCAGCCGGGCCGCGGTCTGCCTAAGGAGCCAGGGAACACCATCTCCTCCTGGGCCTGGTGAGCGGCCCAGGGCCCCGGCTTGTCCCCTCCGTGTTCAGCTCTTGGTTATTTCTCCCACTTCATTCCATGGCCCAGGTGCCACCACCACACACCCTCTGCACCCGTATCCCAGCTCTCAGCCCGCCCTACCTTCCCATGCTCCTGTCTGCTCCTTGGCACCCGTCTACATCCTTAATAAGCCTTGTCCCCAGATAGCCTCTTGAGCATGGACTTTAAACTTGTCTAAGCATCAGCTTCTCTCCTGTGGGATGGGTGTAGTGATTTCCTCCTCTTATTGTGACTGTGTTAGAAACCAGTTTAGGAGAAAACACTTTGAAAACCAGAAAAGCTCTGTTCATATATAAGAAATCAGGGCAATGGGGCACGTGCGCTCGCCAGACAGACAGAGAGAGACATAGAGACAGAAAGCGAGAAATCACCCCCCAGGGGGGATGGTCACGCCGCAATCCCTTTTCCTCCATTCTCCTCTCGGGATCTTGGGCATGCACGCACACGCGCCCGGCGTGAGTTTTAAGCCACTGGGTCCGGGACGTGAACCGCGGTCGACTACGTGGGAATCCAGCGACATAGCCATTACGCTAACTGCTGGTTTCCGCTTTTATTTTTTTGGGGAGGTTTTTGCTATAGGGCGCGTGTGCTCGCCAGACAGACAGAGAGAGACAGAGAGACAGAAAGCGAGAAATCACCCCCTGGGGGGATGGACACACCGCAATCCCATCTCCTCTCAGGATCTTGGGCACACACGCACACGTGCCCGGCGTGAGTTTTAAGCCACTGGGTCCGGGACGTGAACCGCGGTAGACTACGTGGGAGTCCAGCAACATAGCCATTACGCTAACTGCTGGTCCCCTGGAACTTTGGCTTTGACTCCCTTCTTCTGAATCCCCTCTCCAGGCCTCTTAAGCCTCCATTAATTTCCTGGCTCTTTCATTTCTGGGAAAGTAGAGATGAGGAACCTGATAACATGATGGCTCTAACTGGAAAAGCCTTTGGACAGCATGCTGCTTAAGGACCCTGGTTTTACAAATAAGGAGCTCATGGCTCTGAGGCTCCTTGTTATGCCCAATAGCTCACAGTCCACGACAGAGTGAAGAACACAGCCTTGCCTCCCCATTCCTCTCATAAGACTCGTACAAGTCCTTCAGCCTGGCTCTAAGCCTTGTCCATCCTGATCCCCATAATCAGCACAAACTAGTTCCTAAAAACAAGGAAGTGGCCCTTCTAAGTCCCTCTCCAGCCCCACCTTTGAGGACTTCCACTCTCCTTTCTGTTCTGTGTCACTGGCCTCTGCCTCTCCCTTCCTGGCCAGCAGGCAGACAGCTTTGTGCCTGTAGACGCTCCCATGTTGTCCTGAGCTTAATTTCTCGCTCAGTGCCTTACTGTATCACAGCCACATCGTGTGTGACTCCCCATCAGACTGTGCTCCTGATGTTCGGGGTTACCTGCATCTGAGCGTGGTGTACAGCTGGTGCTCAATAAACAGGTGTTGTACTGAACTGAGTGAACTTCTTTCGCTGGCAGCCCCTCATCCAAACTACCTACCTCTTTTCGAAGGCGAGTGATGATCTTGTGTGGGAGTGAGATGACCTCTCCATGACTGGTCCTCAGGGCAGGCAGCATTCCTGACATTGAGACAGAGTATGCCCACCACACCCTTAGATGCCTATCCACACCAATTCTTACCACATTCCTGCCTGTCTCCTGCTCCTCCCCTGGAATGCGCCCTTTTCCCCCACTCCCCAAGGATGCTGAGTACCTGAAGGGCTCCGCCAGGGATTGGTGATCTTGTGTACCTTGAGTGGAACACCAGTAAATCTGGCGTAAGTCTGGCAGAGAAGAAAGTAGATGGCAGAGAGGTCACGGCCATGGCGCCAACAGGGGAACCAAGAAGAGAAAACATTCATTGAATATGTATGTGCTATACCCAATGCCTAATACCTTAGTACAAAAAGAAAAAAGGTAGGTAAATGTTTCCATTTTACACACAGACAACACAAGAGCCGACTATGGACATGTCCGTGTTTATAAGTCAGCTGGGAAAATCCTTCCCTCGGTCTCCCCTCCTACCATCACTCCTCCCAGGTGAACATCTATCCCCAGAAGCTTCTCCTACCCGATATCACCAGTATTCCTCTTCTGGGAACAACTGATGATACCCTTTTTGCCATGCTCTGTGTCTCGTTCCTTATACAAAAGTCCATGGAAAAATATGTATTAGGAAAAAAACTAAGCAAGGATTTCAAATTTATTACACCAAAATAAACTCACATTAATCCCATTTTCCACTAACTTTTTGAAGTAGCTTTGTCGCTTACACCTGAACACTTCATTACACTATCTTGCTTACACATCTATTTTTCTGTAAGCACCTTGCAGGGAGGGACCAAGTACTGTTCATCTTTGCATGGTAATGTTTGGTATTTGGAATAAATCTAATACATGCTTTTTAAAATAAGGAGGGAGCGAAAGACTATGATGAGCTATGTGTCTGATTTCAAAGCTCTTTTGATAGAGCCCGGCCCTAGGCCATTTGGCCCCACAAATAATGAGCTCGGTAAACGCAGTTTAGTGAGGGGCGAAGTGGGGGGCTGAGGGGGAGGCAGGAATGAAAGGAGAGAAAGCCTCGCCGGAGGAGGTCCTTGAGACGGTTCAGCCTACCACCTCCGGATGAAGAAACAGCACCCAAGAGAAGGATCGCCCAAGGTCACACCGCCAGCAAATGTATGTACGAGGGCTAGAACCCATCTTCTGAGCTCGCGATCAGGGCTCTTTCCATCGCTGCACGAAGCCACATAAACCATGGCATGGGGCACTGAGCCCACGTCGGCCAAGCACGCTCGTGGACTGCCTCAACTTCCCCTCCTGCGCCCGTGCTGAGGCGCCCCACCAAGGTTCAGACGCTCGGCTAGCTCGGGCCCCCTCCCCAGTCCTCCGGGGCGCAGCACAGGGCGCCGGCGCCACCCCTCACCAGCACGGCCAGGCTGTCCAGGTCCACAGACGGCAGCCCCCAGCCCCCTGACCAGCAGAACAGCTCCATGGGCGCCGCCATCTTGAGCGCCCTCTGTCCCGGAAGCACCTCCCCACGCGCCTCTGCCCTTCCCCGCG